GAGAGAGAGAGAGAGACTGAGAGAGAGAAAGAGAGAGAGTGAGACACAAAGTGAGCAGGTGTGGAATCCGGACGCAAACAAACAGTGATCGGAAACGAAGAAGGAAGGACGGAAGGAGAAACAGAGACAAACAATGCGAGGAGACAGAAATAAAGATTAAGGGAAAAGGACTCCGGGATAGAAAGGGAAACTAAATCATAAGAAAAATACATGAACAGCAACAACAACAACCAAAAAGTAAAAAAAAAACAACCCAAAGAATATGCTAAATTCGGGGACACACAAATGTATCAATCTTCTTGGAGCCAAAGATAGCTACATCGGTTCACTGGAGGAGGTAATCGAAGCAGACAGTTTTTCAGTCGTGAAATGGGAAACCAGGAAAGGGAAGATAGCTCGGTCATCCTGCCCTGCTTCACGACACTTGTCTTATCTTGGCGCAAAATATTTGAAAAGAAATTATGAATGTGTCGCGACGCAGTGGAATCAGGTGCTTGTCAAATTGTGGGCATGCGCACGGAATTATTGGTATCATTTTAACCCTATCCGTACGTCGTGTTTTACTATCGTATCCATACGACGTGGGGAACTCTGTACCACCACTTTCCAAAGAGGAAATTTACCCGTTAATCCGATCCGCACACTTTGCATAGTAGTCTATCAAAATGATTTTTTTGGAGAAATACTGATAGCTTCAAAGAGATCTTCGAACTAGAAGTATTTAAAAAATGTGAAGAATACAACGCCGGGGGTACAAAATGACCCCAGGGGGTTTTGCTAGTGTTAAAGCTTGTTTCTTTTTTTGTCTTGCTTTCAATGAAAAAGTTCAACATCCATTCATCTTGGATACATGTCCAGATACATGTATATTGGCGACTGAAGGAGGTGGGGGTGGCCTAGTGTCAGAGGTAAAATTAGCGAGAAAATGGCGGCCGAAATGTAATTATTTCCTTAGCTTGAGAGTCCGTGGAAACTGAACATTTGTATTTTTTCCAGTAAAATCCATACAGAAATGTGTTTTAATGGACATAAAATGTGTTGAGCAAAAAACCCACAAAAAAACAAACAACCCCCAACAACAACAACAAAATTCGATACAAATTCCCAAACCGGTGGGAAAATGCCAGATTCTTCATTTTCACTATTTTGACGAGCGTCTGATTTCACCCCGCAGCCTCCCAAATGTGTTCCGGGTACAAAGGCCGCCATGGCTGCCTTAAACAAACATGTCGTCTTGTTATGTTTTAGATCACGATCACGTGATTTCTATGACGTAAGCGTCTCTGGCTCGAGGCAGACTGGACTGCATTGGGAAATATTCACGATTGGAACATTTGGGAAGATAACAACTTTCACAATCGCTGTTTACACAAATTCTTGTGTCGACATGCAGGGACTTTTTTTGATAAAACACGAACGACCTAGCCCAGAAAATGGCCTGTTGCTGACTCATCATTAAAAGTAAAGTTGTTCCCGCATCCGATCCGGACATTGGGAACTGCATTGTTAGTGAGACAACTTCTTGGACCTTCGGCATAATATTGTGGTAGGGTGGTCAGTTCCTTTCCACGCCGCCTTTATTTCCCCAACTCGAAGTCAGGTACCTATTACTGCAGGGTGGGCAGGAGGGGGGGGGGAATCATTGTCCGAACCGAGGCTCGAACCCGGAAAGCTACGGAGACGAGCGCACGAACCGCACTAACCTATCATTACTCTACCTAATTAGAATTACAAAGTTCTAGTTAGCAATGTTTTGACGTTTGGAATCTCCGAGACCATGAGGTCAGAAACCATTTATGTTCTACACGCTCTAACAAAATCGAAAGTTTACTCGGAGTTTTTATAATAATAATAATTGCATTTATATAGCGATTTTCCATGCTCAAGAGCTTGCTTTATGTGCTTTACAACTATTATTACCCCAGCAGACCCTCTGAGAAGACTCGGAAACATTCTCGGCTTCCGCGGAAGCATTCAGTGCAAGCTGCGGATTTCACGCGCTCAAACACTATCAAACTGACAAGATCTTTCACTGTCTATAGCTGGGTACCCATTTCCACCTGGGTGAAGTGAGGAAAATTTGTGCAAAGTGCCTTTCCCAAGGACACAACGTCGGGCCCCTGACGGGATTCGAACCCACGACCTTAGGGTTGCGAGTCCGAGAGCCTAACCACTAGGCCACCGACGCCACAAGATATTCAAGGAATAGCATTCCTTTTTTACAAAAAAAGCTTAACCATGTTGTGAAACTCGACAATTTTGAAAGTCCAATTTCTCAATACTGTTGGTTACTGAGCAGATAGAGCTTTGTGATTCTAGGGTAGAGATTTTTTAAGAAAGATAGCAACCTCCACAATCTGTGTTGACGCAAACGGCGACTTTTGATAAGATCATCACCTAATCTCCATCAATGCTAACCCTCACGTCATGTTTAACTTAAAGTTATCCCCCTAAGCTCAAAGAAAAATCAAAATCAAGCTGTAGCCACACATTGATCCTGAGTCTGACTGACTGCATGTGGCGTTGAGCAAAATCTAAGGCAGCTCCTTCACCAGTTGTTGTTAAGGTCTCTAGATCTGGTCTCTGGAAAGTTTTCGGATTATAATTCAATTTTAGCTCCGGTAATACCCTTTTATTCTGTAGACAGGTGTGTGTTTCCAAAAATAATTGCCGTGAAGTTTGTTTTTAACGGTTTTTATTATTACTAATCGAAAGCTTGGGTTTTAAAGGAGTTTATTTTTCGGATAGAGAAGGAGGGAGATGGAAAATAGAGGATCGATAGGTCGATAGATTAATTGATCGATATATAGTTGGATAGCGGGAGAGCTAACTGGTTAGATAGATAGACGGCATGAGAGAGAGAGAGAGAGAGAGAGAGAGAGAGAGAGAGGAGAGAGAGAGGGGAGGGAGACGGAGAGGGAAGATGAAGATAATAAGAGAGAGAGAGAGAAAGAGAGAGAGGGAGAGATAGAGAGAGACAGAGACAGACAGACAGACAGACAGACAGACAGACAGACAGACAGACAGACAGACAGACAGACAGAGAGAATGACGTTGTGGTGGTGAGTCTGCGGAAAGAGGATTAAAGGTAGGAACAATGCGAAGAACAGGAGATCACAGGAGCAGTTTAGGCCTTGAGATCTCCCGATGATGATGAACTGTCGGTCCGGCGGGTTACTGGACTAAAGTGTCAATGGCACAGATCCTACATGACAGTTTGATGGTGGGTAATATCCGACAGCGTCCCACGGTCCCTTGACGCACGCTACGTACAACCTGGCTTGTTCTCAGGATCGTAAAACTATTGATGTCATTAAAACCGCAAGGGGACGGGGTCCCGTTAGTTTGTCAAACAGGTGGGGGTGGGTGGTGAAAAACAGACCGTGGGTGGGGGAGGGGGAGGGGGAGGAGGTGTTGTGGAGGAAAACATGGGATTTTGGCAAAGATCTTCAACTGGTTTGGGGGTTGAAGGGATATAAATAAAGTGTGTGTGTGGGGGGATTTGTTGGGGGTGGGGGGCGAGAGAGTTGGAAACATTTGCTTAACCCTATCCGTACGTCGTGTTTTACTATCATATCCATACGATTTGGGGAACTCTGTGCCACCACTTTCCAAAGAGGACATTTACTCGTTAATCCTATTCGTACGCTTTGCGTAGCAGTCTGTCAAAATGATTTTTGTTAAACAAATACTGAAAGTTTCAAAGAGATCTTCGTACGAGAAGTATTCTAAAATGTGAAGAATACAACCCCGGGGGTACAAAATGACAACAAGGCGTACGGATAGGGTTAAGATGGTTGGTTCTCTTTGGTGTTGGACCCTCAGGAACTAGGGCTGGGCAATGAGTCGCTTAAAGCAAAATCCGGATAATATGTTAGTGCACCTCTTCGGCAATTAAATGAGTTCGAACCACTTCGACAAACGGGTCAGCATTACTTCAACAAATCATGGGGGCACCCATTTCGGCAAATGGGTCAGGAAAGAAAGTTTAAGAGTCTGAATTCGGATAATGTTTCAATGAGAATTATCCGGATATCCTTATAGATTATCCGGATTTTGTCCACCACTTTCGGGAGCTGATGTTGTCTGGATTAAATGCAGGTACATCTAGGTCGTGACAGCTTGAGAGAAGTGGTGGGAAGTTGTAAACACAGAATGATGGCATGTCGTAAAGGGAAGAAACAGCCACCGGTGCAGAAAATTATTATTTCGGAGATTATCTGAGTTTAAGAGGAACACCTTGACACGGTGATGGGTCGGTTTAACCTCGTGGGAAGAAAATACAGAGAGGGAGAGAGAGAGAGAGAGAGAGAGAGAGAGAGG